GATTTGCCAATGGAGGGCGAGGGAGAGCTTTGTATGCGTCTCTGTGTGTGGAGTAAAGGTGGTCTAGAGTTTTTTTCCCCTCTGGTTGCACATTAACATGCTGGTAGAAATTAGGTAGAACGGATTTAAGTTTTCCCTGCATTAAAGTCCCCTGCTACTAGGAGCGCTGCATCTGGATGAGCGTTTTCCCTGTTGATTAGTGGCCTTGTACAACTCATTCAGTGCAATCTTAATGCCAGCATTGGTTTGTGGTGGTAAAATAGACAGCTATGAAAAAATATAGATGAAAACTCTCTTGGTAAATAGTGTGGTCTACAGCTTATCATAAGATACTCTACCTCAGGCGAGCAAAAACCTTGAGACTTCCTTAGTATTTGATTTTGTGGCACCAGCTGTTGTTTACAAATTAACAGAGACCGCCACCCCTCGTCTTACCCGAGTCTGCCGTTCTGTCCTGCCGATGTAGCGTATAGCCTGCTAGCTGAATGTTATCATTGTCGTCGTTCAGCCACGACTCCGTGAAACATAAGATATTACAGTTTTTAATGTCCCGTTGGTAGGATAACCGTAATCTTAAATCGTCCATTTTATTCTCCAAAGCTTGAACGTTGGCTAATAGGATTGGATGGGTGAGGCAGTTTATCGTTCGCCGTCGGATCCTTACAAGGCACCCGGATCTGCGTCCACGATATCTCCGTCTCTTCCTCACGCGAATGACGGGGATCTGGGCCTTGTCGGGAGTCTGTAGAATATCCTTCGCGAACGCCTCGTTGAAGAAAAAGTGTTCGTCCAACGCGAGGTGAGTAATCGCTGGTCCTGATATCCAGAAGCTCTCTTTGGTTATAAGAGACGATGGCAGAAACATTATGTACAAAATAAATTACAAATAACGCGGAAAAACACACATAATAGTACAATTGGTTAGAGGGCTGTAAAACGGCAGCCATCTTCTTCCGGCGCTGTTCTAGTAACTACAGTTACCCCTGGTTAAGTGATTAACCATTAAGCGCAGTTAGATTAAGTGATGGTCAAATGTATTTAAAACAAATGAGAAGAGAAATCATATGAAAAGTATTGTGAGTATTGCATTGTGAAAGGCATTTACTTTAATATGAAAGGTATTTCTAGATGAAACACTGATTAGGTTTGGTGAAAATGTTACTGTGTGGTTTTGTGTTTTGTACTTAGTCAATTGAAAATGTGCTTCAAGTTTGAAGAAAAAAGTAACAGCCTTTTTGACGATCTGTGATGAGTTTTGTTCTAAGAGTTGTGAAATTTTACCACACACATGTGAAAATAGTACCAAGACAACACTGGGGAACAGGTTGTCCGGAATCCAGGAACAGTGGAAATTGACTCCCTCCTCTCTCTCTGTGAGTTATCAGTGCTCTGTACAGGCAGAAGTTAGTAAGTATGAGACAATCTTTACTGAGCTGATCCGCTCCATTGAGAGAAGGCGCTCTGAAGTGAAGGAGCTGATCAGAGCCCAAGAAAGGCTCAAGTGAGTCAAGCTGAAGGACTCCCTGGAGCAGGAGATGCTAGCTGGGAAAAAACCTAGCTGGAGCAGCTCTCACACACAAAGGGTCACATCCATTTCCTCCAGGTAACTCAACTGCCTTTTACTGTAATTTAAGTTCATTTTTTAATAGTGACAGAATTCGAAAAAGTCCCTTTGCTGAAGACCAAAAAAAGTTGTCCCCCTGTAAGTATATTTAAAAAACCCCTCAAAGACAAAATCTGTTCTTTTTTACTTTTTGGTTTTGTTCTTCATCGTCGACTCCTCCGCTGAAAAGGATTGAATACAGCTCACCAAACTCACTTGTCTGAGGGAAACAGGGGGTGACAGCCCCTGATTAAGCTCACCCCACCTACCCTGCAGAGAGATTTTTCCCACTGTGACAGGTGCGTGAAAGGGCCTTTTTGGATCTGCTATGGGGGGTAGAGTGGAGCGGGGGGATGGGTTTTTAAATGCAAATTCATATAAAAGGGTATAGAAGGAAAATCCCAAATCCCACATTTTTAAGGGAACAGTCAGTCCCGTCTTTGGGGTGCTATCCCCCCTTTTAAGGGTTTTTGGGACATTCTAATCAACAAAATTCTTCCCCCCGCTCCTCCAGATAGGATGTACCTGGGCCACGGAGGAACTCTGTCCCTTTTACAAATGTCTCGACACTGACCCCCCTCCACAGAGTCCAACCACTTCACTCAGCCCCTCTACCGGGTTTTTTGGGTTGGTACAAAAACATTCTCAATAATTACCAGTAGGGAGATGATTTTCAACCATTTCGACATTTGTGGAGAGCTTCTGGTTATTAAAATCTTCCATTGGGGCCCTTATCGGTTCAATTCCCCTTTTTTAAATTATTGTAAAAAAAAAAATAAAAACCTGGCCCAGATCTGTTATGGTCTTGCTAAACAGAAGAATGATGGGCCTACAGACTGCACTCAGGGTTTAACTTTATTTCTGTACCCTGAAAACCCTTTGGCCTTTTTTTTCAAA